GCCGCAATCCCTTCTCCTCCATTCTCCTCTCGGGATCTTGGGCACGCATGCACACGCGCCCGGCATGTTTTAAGCCACCAGGTCCGGGACGCGAACCGCGGTCGACTACGTGGGAGTCCAGCTACATAGCCATTATGCTAACTGCTGGTTCCCTCTTATTTATTTATTTATTTGTTTATTTATTTATTTGGAAAACACCTTCTGAAGGAGATAATGCCTAGGCCGATCTCTGACGGAAGGGTAGCCAGGTGTATAGAGTCTTAATAATAATGTACAAATGTGAATTCTAGCCCCAAGGTACTCTAGAGAAAAGTGCGTGGAAAATGTCGCTGTAATGAAAGCTAAGACTCCTCAACTTCTTGGATCTGAGCTTGTAACCTGTTGCTCACAGTCCTATGGATGCTCAAAATTAGAAGAGATTATTGTATAGAGAGCCCCATTCAGCTACGCACTCAGTACTTAAATTTTCCTTGTATTACTAACTCCAGGACTTGAGTAGGACGTGGTAATATCCCTCAACAGAGACCCCAGCATCCTCTGAGAAAGCCCGTTTGTTACTTGGGGACCACTAAGTGTTACCAAATAGGCTGAAAAGAACCATTTTTCTAGTTCTCATCTTTTTGGCCCTTATAGAACAGGTTTATCTCTCCTTCCATTAACAGCCCTTCAAATCGTTAAAGACAGCTGATCATCTCCCAGTTGTCTTAACTGGCTGCAATAACAAATAGCATGGACTGGGTGGCCCGGACAACAAACGTTGCTCCTCACAGGCTGGAAGCCCGAGATCCTGACTGGCTTCTTGATGAGGGTGTTCTTTCTGGCTGTCCTCACATCGTAGAGTGGGAGCTCATCTGTCTTGTGTCTCTTCCTACAAGGACACTAACCCTATTCACAAGGGCTCCACCTTCTTGACATATCACCTCCCAAAGGCCCACCTCCAAATACTGTCCCATCGAGAGCTAGAACTTCAACATATACACTTTGGGGACCAGCAGTTAGCATAATGGCTATGTCGCTGGACTACCATGTAGTCGACTGTGAATCGAGTCCCGGACCCAGTGGCTTAAACTCACACCAGGAGCGTGTGCAAGCGTGTCTAAGATCCTAAGAGGAGAAAGGAGGAGAAGGGATTGTGGCATGGCCATCCTCTCCTGAAGGGTGATTTCTGGCTTTCTGTCTCTCTGTGTCTCTCTGTCTTTCTGGTGAGCACATGCTCCCTATGGCAAAAAACAAACAAACAAAAAAAACAAAAAAATCAAAAAAATGTATATATACACTTTGGAGGGATGCAAACATTCACTCTGTAGCACCCACCTTGACTTCTATCTTAACTGGATAAAGTATCTTCTGGCAACTTAGAATAGTATTTAAGAGCGGACTCTTGGACTAGTGTCTGTGTGTGAAGCCCACTCTGCTCTGTATTAGCCATGGATTCTTACCTTATGAAAATGAAGTGAGATCATATATATCAAACAGTTAGGTGTAGAGTATTCATTATATATGCTATTATTGTTATTACATATCTTGGGTCCCTTCGATTCCTCTAAACCTGTTTTGATTTATGTTTTCCTATTTAATAAATTAGCACTTTTAAGTAGCAGATGGGAACTCTTGGGTATGCAATGGCCAGAACAGGGTACAGATCAGGGTCCCCAGGTTTTATATATATATATACATATAGATAGATAGATAGATAGATAGATAGATAGATAGGAAGGAAGGAAACGGGGCAACACTTAAACTGCAGAGGCACTTGTTCCCAGGACCTGTTATCCAGTGTTCCCTTCCAATTTCCAGTTCTGTCTGTCTGGGTCTTTTCTTGAAGGCTTGTGCCAACATCTGCACCTTCTGGCTTCTGCCTCAGCCTCCTTTTGAGTACA